TGACCTTGTTTTAATGCCTATGCTATAGGATAGGATGGATCGCCTGGGCTACTTGGCAAGTATCAAACTGTACATGTTATCTGGAAATGTATGACCTTCATGCTTTAGAAATGTATGAGTGCCAGCTTTTTCTCTTTTTTTTTTGTGAAAAAAAAAGATAATTTCATTAGATCTCAAACTGTTCCAAATGTATGAGTGCCAATTAATCAAGAAAGCTTTCCATGAGAAACACAACCTATCAGTGATAATTTTTCATATTTCACTAACTCATCAATGTAAGAAAACAGCAAAGTACCTGACAAATGCTGCATTTCATATTCTCATCACCACAGACAGCAATTCCAGTGGCCTGATAGGTGGGTTCATATAGGTTTCTCTTGAGACATTTAGACAATTGCTCCTCTGAGAGAGCTGTGCTTACAGTACCCATTTTCTCCTCAAGAGCTAACAATTCCTGACAACCAAAATTTCAGTTTCTGAGCCAATTAGAGACACGTATTTAGAAGGCGACTCTTAAATGAGAGGAAAATGAAAACACAACTATCATCAGTCATTATAATGAATGCAAGTGCAGTTGTTCAACAAACAAGAAGCTGATATATTCTAAAGAATAGGGATCAACTCAAAGTTTCATCTAATGAAATGCCATCAAGCACTCAGATTCACTTCATCACAAACTAGTCTCAGAGGAAAATAGCTGTAAAGGAAAGAGCTATCCTGCTTTACTCACACACAGAAAGCCATGCAGGGAATAACCATTTGAACGCGTAGTAATCTAGCTTGTGGAATATCAGAGAGATGAAGGCCACTGCACAGCATAAATCCTACACTTGACTAGGCCAAAATTTTTACTGAGAGATCCATTTAAGAAATAGAATATAGAAAGCATCCGTATAATCATTCAAGACACAGCATAGAGACATCCTTAATCACAACTTTGTACAAACAAAAAAAAAATGTAACAAACAGAGAAAGGTCAGTATTGAATTCACAAAAAAGCTACCTACAAAGACTATACCTCATAGGACATATTTTCAATGTCCATCCTCAGGGCTCTATGCTGATCATGGAAACTAAGCCCACAAAAGAACAAACTTGTCTCCAGTACCGATAATTGCTGCAGAATAAAGAAACCTCATTCAGATGATGAAGATAAGATTATGGGGCTGAGAACAGATATTAGCAACCTCATATGTCAGTTCGTCGTCTTGTTCAATATGTTCAAGTGCCAAGAGCGCCTGCATATGTATGAACAGTTGTTAAATTTGGGTTCTCATTTCCAATGTGTAGTAATAAGAAACCACCGTTTGATCGAAATGATAAAATGATAACACTTAAAGGAACTCTAGTCCCTTTCTATTTTGTGATAGTTAAACTAAATTGCACCTAGCAAATATATAATAAGGAAAATTGAAACCACAGGATAAAAAGGTTCATATAAAACCTCTGCAATTCCCTCCACATTGAAGTGATGATAGCCATCTCCTGAAGAGCCAAAGAGCATTTGTGTGTTGTTATCCTCAGGTTGAGACATTGACCTACTTCGAAAAGTCTGACTGCTTGATACTGGTCGTTCATATGAATTACGAAAGGCATGTGATGATCTTGATGAACTTTCAGGTGGTGCTTCTGCAAGAGAAAATTGATTCCGCTGGTACTGGGGAAGCATAATGGGTTCATCCAATGGAAGGATATTGTAGTCAGCTTGTGCAGATAGCCTCCTTTGACTTTCACCAGTAGAAGCCCTCCCAGTTCCAACTGAAACTGAACCATCCCCAGTGGTAGGTTGGTTTCTGGTCCTTCTTGACACTGGCTGATGTGTTACTTTACTCATACTTGATGAACTTGAGCCAGAACCAGTATGCATGGAAACCACATACCTTTCGGTTGATGATGCACCTGCACCCTTGCATCTGGAAGTAGAACTTTCTCCTTCAGATGGCCGTTTTCTTACAGTATCAACCCTCCCATGATGTGTGAAACCAGAGGATGAAGCACCTGAAGAAAGAACATCTGATATTGATGTGCAACTTAACCTATTAAGACCACAGCCCTCTGCACCAGAGCTCAACCTTTGAGCTACAGGTTTAGCAGGATGACTGGCGTATGTATATGCCATATTTGGGCATCGCATAAAGGACCTTGAAGAAGGGTCTTGTTTTCCTGAGCCAAAATTTCCATTAATTTGTCTATGTGGTTTCCATACTGAATCACTGATAGTTGACTCAGTTGTATCTTCAGTTTCTAAAGGCCCTATGACTGTGGCAGTGTATTCTAAATGTTCTTTCCCTCTTCGTGAATCATCAGAATTTAGATTCTTTAAACACTCAATGTTGGTTAATTTGTCAATCTCATCCTGCTTGCTACTAGTTTCTGCAACAGCTGAGCCCCTTAAAATTTTTTGATTCGGCTGCTCCTTGAAAGACCTTCCATATCCCCTAGAAGTAGAAGATGATTTGGAAGAACTTCGAGCTATCACCTTACCATTCATGGCATGGAATGAAGCTCTTGCATATTTGGATTTTTCCTGAGTGTCAATTTGGGCACCTCTCACGGTGTTATGCCTGGTACGACACCCCAGCCTGTCGCGACGCTGAATACTTCGATCTTCATTATTTTGATCTTTGAAAACAATGCCAGACCTCATGGAAAAACTCTGACCTCCATCTGCTCTCTTAACCACATGCTCATCCATCTCAAAATTAAATGTGGGGCAAATAGTGAAATTGAAGACTATGGTAGAGTTCGTTCTACAATAAGGTGTAAAAATCACCATGTAGAAATGGAACTTATTAGGGTAAAGAAATAAGTGCAGGATATTTGGCAGGTAAAGAAAATTAAAAAGAGTCTGGTAGTAAACCAATATAGTGAAGGAACCAAGAAACCCGAACAAATAATACTTGTGTCAGCAACTAGGAAGTGGTCATAGGTTCCTGCTCATCACACAAATTCTAAGAAACTGATGTTAGCAGACTAGGCATGTCTGCACATAATTAGATGGTAAGGAAAAGAAACGAAACCAACCAATTAGTTCTACTTCACTTTTGTTTGATTCATAGGATCATATTCATGACGCAGCATGATTTAGCAAACAGAATTGTGTATGGAAACTTTTTCATGTCATTAATATTGTCCTCTCAGAAAAGAATCACAAGAACAGATGCACACAATCAATATAAGATACATATAAACAAACCTGCCATTCAGCATACAAAAGTTCAACAAATGCAGAACATGACAACCAACTCACCGAGAATCATGACAAAATCCATAAATCTAAGAAAAATTCAACTAAGTAAAGAAGGATATGAGTTACTAAAATATTCTTCTCCAGCAAGTCTGCTTCCGTAATCATTAATACGTGACCAAAATAAAAAATATAATGAAAGAAAATTAACATCGAGCTAGATAAGCGAACCACAAATTTTCCTTTTTTTCCTAAAAATAAAAGAAAAAACAAAAACGAGCATCATCAATGTTGCGCCATTTTATGCATAATTCAAACGATAAACATGTCGATAAATCGAAAATACACAGATAATCCTCGTGGAAGGAGAAAAAAGGGCAATATAGAAAAGTTGATCAGAAGGGGCAAAAGCTTCGATCTTTAGCGAGCTTACATCTAAATTAGCGGACCATACTATTTAAAAGAACGACTATTCAAAGCCGAGACAGAGAGGGCAGCTCAAACTCTCAAAAATCGATATACCCATGATGCAAAGATCGGTTCTTTCATAAGAAAGCTGGATTCATGGAGCCAACGTAAACAAAAATTATCAGGAACAAGCAGAAGGAACACCTAAGTCTGCTTCATTTTCCTCGTATTGAACCAAAATTCGGCATTCAAATGCACAAAGTCGGATCTTTCGGAGCCAAAGCGATCGGAAAGCGATCTCATCAACGAAAAAACGAACGCTTTTTTCCTTTCTTTCCCGCATCATACCTTTAACTGCGCGTCCTCGTCACGCGAAGAACCCGAAGCGGAGTCGAGGAAGATGGGATGGATTGTAGACAGCCGAGGTGGGTCCGACGAGACCCGCGGTCTGGATGCCCGACCTGCAGAAAGTCCAAAGACAGTGGATGAGCTCACAGCCGCCGAAGGGGGACAGTGTCGAACAACCGACGAAGACCGTCGGATCTGCCTGGCGATTAGTGGAAAACCCGGGCGCCGTGTCGGATCACGCGTGGGTGGAAAGATCGGAGCGGACAGGGGAAAACGACGTGGAAAAGTCCGCCGCATCCGATGCCCAGCAAGCAAAGATTGGATTTTTAATGCTAGTCTTCACCAATCATTTCCTTGAAGATGAGGGTGTCCTTTGGATGATCATACCTAAAATATCATTCATCCCTATCCTCACATAGCCACTCCTTGTCTCCACATGGTTCATATTTTGGAAGGGTAGAAGAATTCAAGCTTTCTACTCTGGTAATGCAAATAGAATACAGGGAATACAAATGGAGCTTTTATCTATTTATTACATCATCTTAGACACATGTTTACTTAAGCTTCCAATTACCTGCACTCAGGATTGTTCAAGGACATTTCAAATAAAGATATTTAGCTGATCTTGATCAAAATTTTATTTTGATACTCCAAATTCTATTGTGCTCTTTAACAATTATATTGGTTCATGTGCATCCATATTTGTAAAATTATATGTACAAATACATGTAGAATAATACATCTCAAGAGCTATCAGTATACAAGCCATAGCATGCTACAAATAAGAAAAGTAAACATACTCTTTGATTAGCTAAACCCAAAGTACTTTTTTTTTTGGATGGTTTTTACCAATGTTTGATGCAGAACAGATTGACAAAACAGAGCATCAATAACTTCTATTAAGATAACTCTCACAGATTCTGAGTGTTCAAGGGCCTTGATCAAGAATTATGGATCATATTACTGAACATATATGTTTAGACCAAGTTTTGTATATTAAAAACCAAATTCATGGCATACTTAGCACAAAATTTCTAAGAATTGTAAGAATAGGGTTTAAGGATCCACATGCAGCGAAATATAAAAGAAAGTAGCCACCCTTTTTTCTCAAAGTATTTGGATGCATATTTGTTGATTTGGATAACCATATAAACCTACCAAATGCAATGATACTACTATTGACACTTCTGTCACCACCAACCAAAAAACATTTATTTCATTCCTCATAAGATGTTTTCGGTCATACCATAAAAAAATTACAATCTATAGAATTTTGGTCAGCTCACTGCCTTTATCTCTAATAAATGAAAGATACATATTATGAAAAATAAAATTTAAAGCTGAGAAGACAATTTTTGACCCAAAAAAGGAATAAACAAATCTATGCCAACGGTAAAATCTCATAAACTATCTAAATCAAGAAGCAGCTGAGAAAGCACTTGAACAGCCTATTGCTGATAGGTTTCCACTGCAAAAGAGAACAAGAGATAGTGAAACCGGGGGAAATAAATCACTTAATGGGGCTAATTACATGTAAATTCTCTAAAGAAAGGCATACCCGCAAGTGCATGTGGGTGTGTAAGAACACAAAGCCAATGTACTCTTCTGAGGTTTCAACATGTAGTGAGAACTGAATGCAGATGGTAGAATTAAAATAGATGAACTGCCATCTTAAGCTTATTCTGCTTCCATTTTGGTAGGTCATAAAAGGCACTCTTTTTCATGCCAAATTTCTCTTTGAACTCTACTGAAGATAAGTAAGCCTGCAACATGAACAATATACAGAATCTGAGACATGAATGAGGCTTTGGCATGCAAACAGTATAGTGATATACCTCTCTCTTGGTTATATCAATGTCGGTAACAGGATCGCTGGACGATGTCGTTAAGTGTTCATAAGGAAATATAGGAAGCCCTCCATCATCTTCATCTTCCCCCTCATTCATCTCTTCTTTAATGGTGAGGTCATCGTTTCTCCCACTCGCTGAAATTGGATTCTCAATAGAATTGGCCTCCATGCTTTCTTGAGCAACCTTGGATTTCACATCTCCTGAAGATAAATGAAGTCATACTCTCTTTGGGAAAATTGAGATCTTTAATATCCAGGAGACCTCAGCCACATACCTCTGGATGACTTTGATTCAACACTTTCCTTTGCAGATTCAAAAGATGCAGTTAAAGCAGCAATTGCTGCTGAACGTGGTACTGGTTTTACAGAATCTGGGATTGTAGACTTTGGATAAAGTCTGGTAACAGCTGGAGGAGGGGTTGAAAGATTCCTGGAATTTGGATTCTCAAAGGTCGCTGCTAATGCACTGAAAGCTGGAGATCTTCCTCTTGCACGAACATTGTCTGGGCTAAAGGACATGCTTCTGGAACGCTGAGATTTATCTGTTACACTTCTTCCACCAGATGTCGGTACACGCCGTTTTGGCTTCTGAAACATTAACATCTAAAATTAACACCCCACTTTACTACCTTCACAAAGAAAAGTGTGTAAGGATAGTTGGAGATGAAGACCAACTTGTTATAAAATTCACATCATAACTACATGACTTCAACAAACTTAGAAACTCAAACTGTTAGCTAGGTTATCATTGAATCTAAATATCTAAGAATCATTCCATTGAGCATCAGACAATCAAAGAGGCATCTCATCTTACAAAACATATATTTGAAACATACTATTGGCTTCTTGTGCTTCTAGAACATTGTATACGTAATAAGCCCAAGTGATAAAAAAGATGGTACAATGCATGAAGCCCTTGCTAATATGCGATCTGGTGAGTACTAATGTATGCAGCCTTATCCTTATAAGTGAAGAGGCTGTTCTGTCACTAATTAACCAGGTTGCAGATAAGCAACCAACTGTGGTGACAAAGCTCACCCCCAACATCGGAGTAACAAGTTTGACGTATCATTTATGCCATAAGAGCTCCGTTGATGCTCTTGCTAGCAACCTATCTCACATTTTCTATTAAATAGCTTCACTGAAGATTGCAAAGGTAAAAGAGATTTGATAGTAAAAGTTTTTTCTTGACAAAAATAGGTTTGGATGACTTGGTGGAGAAAAGAATCTTCTATATGACTTTTGATGACTTCTCACTTGTAGTTATATCATGATTTAAGAATAAGATCCAGAAGCCAACCATAAAGTGCATGCAAACTTTCCATGCATCGTAGGAGTATGCATTTGAAGCAGTACGGCTTTTCCACAAACTCCTTAATTGTGCAAATTCCATAAAACAGTCCACAGGTCATCTTTGGTATATCAGCTGTTGGACTCATGGACTGGCCTAAGTCAATTGTGCTACTTAGATTTTACTCACCATTTCCCATTGATGTCCAGGTTAAATATTTTGCATCACATCCAACCTGGAGTTTTTTAAATTTTCTAAGCATGGGCAGACCAAATTCTGACAATACTGTCCTAAAATTTTCTAAATACATCAACTAAAGCTGAACTGTCTGATGGGAGCATAAATTGCTACAGTTTGATCATTTCTAGAAAAGCAACTGCGTGTGACATGTGAAATCCTAGCTTGCACAAAAAGAAGGAAAGCAATGAAGCAAAATTATATGATCACAGCTCAGATAATACAAGATATATGATTGCAATAATGAAAAATGGAATACTCGAGTACCTATAAGCTAATAATATTATATGGCTTGATTTTGTTGCCTGGTATGATAGACTACTGAGTTGGTTGCTTGGAGAAAATCATAATTGGTTTTGAAGTTCTAAAAAATGAGACAATCTGATGTGTGGATGTATCACAGAAAAACAGATAAGTGTTTAATCTGATGATACAAGACACCCTTTGACGAAAATTGGTCTAGGTCCATGTACTCAATTGGATATATTCAGCTAAGCACTGAGCTTAGATTTTGAAAATACAGTGGATCATATCAAACAATTATAAACAGAATCCTAATCTATGATTTACTGTTGTAAAAATAAACTAAAAAAAAAGCATACGAACACATTCAATTTCAAAGAAAAATAAAATCACAACTAGGTTAGCGTCACAAGGCAAGACACAAACTAGCATATTGATCTAGCCATGCATTTTCTATTAACCATGATATTTTGAGTCTGATGAGCTCTTATTAAGCTTCCATGGAACTTTAGGGAATTCTAGAAAATAATAACAGAAAAAACAACAATCCATCTGATTTGGCCTACCGAACAAGATTGAATAATTATAGATCTTATCTTACCTCAACAGGTCGAGTGACTCCAGTTTTCACTATGGCAAGCTTCCTCTGGTAGGAATTACCATGCATCTGCAGTCAAAGTACAAGTTCAAGATCCTCAGAATAAGAATAAACTCTTATGAAACTCTTGCCAGAATATTCCACTTTAAATTGCTTTGATGGTTACAAAATCCATGCCTGCTATGATTAACAATAAAATCATTTATTGGGCTACTATAAGAAACAGAAGATGAAAACCTGTTCTGTAAAAAGTTATGCTTTTGTATTTGTAACAAAAAAAAAGAGAAAAAATGATTGCATACTCAAATGCTTACAGCTGATTTTGCAGAGTCCCATGTGAAGAAACGAGTGAAGAATGGTGGCTCATTTCCTTCTGTGACTATGAATATCGAAGTTTCTCGAGATATTTTCTCAAGAAGAAAATCATGTTCAAGAAATTCCTGGCAAGAATCACAAATACATATACAAGGAACCAAATTATTCTTGTATGGAACAATCAAAAGATGGTACATGCATGCTTCTAAAAAGCACATACTATTTTATACCTCTCCTATTTTTAGAGCTTGTGATCTTATCTTTGTGTCCACCTTTTGTCCAATCCAAACGAAGATGTCAGAATGACAGTCGAGGATATATACATCTTCTGTCATCAGATCATCTTGGGTAAAATTAAATATTTCTGTAACCTGAAACTTTATGTTGTTAGTTGAAAACAAGCTAAAATTGTAACAAACAAAGAGAAGACTCTCCATAGTTTATGTATAATTTATCTGAGGTGTTGAAGAATAATATTTAATGAGATGAAAGGAATTTTCTATCACATACCTTTAAATTGTCTGCATGCCAGCATTTGCATGATGGAAACAAAACACAATATTTTAGCAACTATCACAATCTAACAAACAAAATGCCATAGTAAAGAGTGGAAAATGGATTCCTTTAACATGTACCTTTTGAAAAATCACAATAAAATAGGTGAGGATCATTTTCTGGTTCCTTGACAATCTTTTGATTGGAATAGTCACATCTACCTCCTAGTAAACCCCAAAACTGTTCAGTTTCTGTCCCTTCCTTTTGTGGTTTGTACTGAATATTTGGCTGTAAATATGGCAAACTTATTTGGCATCATTATATCCAATAAATCAGGAAAGAGGATACAAGATTCAGATTCCATGGTAATTTACTGAAAATGTAATATCAGCAATATTTTATATACATGAGACTGTAATTTTTTTGTCTTCTGCTTTATATTATAATTGATGATAAAATTGTGAGCCTCCAAGCCTTTATCCATCATAGATGGATACATAAGGAAAGAGAAGATTTTGTCAAACAGATGCCATCATGTTGTCATCCCCTGATAATTTGGAACCGGTTCCTATTCAAGGTTGATCAGTTCAACCTGATGTCGGGCCATCTGGGAGGTTGGGAGATTTATACTTTCGTTTGCAGTTCAAGCTTATCTTATCTTAGAGAAAGCATTAACAATTTTCAAGGAAGACCAAAGACACCATATGAGAAAGAGGTAAGAAATTTATGCTTTCAACTGCACATTAAAGACCATATGTCACTGTGTTTTGGAGGCCACCATGATCTCTTTATTGCACAGTAACTGGACCTCCTGTTCTTTTCTTTTCTTTTTTTTCCATTGTAACCGTTAGTTTTCCTTTTGCTTTTATCTGCTCCTTCCCTTTTTTTTTAATTTGAGTTGGGTATCTTGACCTAAACTTCTAATCCAATAAAGACTAACTCATCAATGGGTGCTAAGAGAGACGTAAATCTGAGACACTTACAAGTCAATCTTAAAATGATATAAATTGCAAAGTGATAGCATGTGAAAGGCTCATGCTAGGCAAAAAGAAACTTGCATGCTCAAATAAATATTCAAATAGAATCAACATTACTTTTACTAGAAGAAAATGTAAAGAGGTATAGAAGCAATAACTGAGCTCTTTACAAATGGAGCTAGTAGTTGTCATGGAAATTTTGGATATTCTAAGATGATTGACAAACCTTTATTTGATCTAGCAGTCTCTCGACAAGATCTTGATCCTCTGAGGTAGTAAGACTTCCAGACCATGTAAAAACTGTTGTATCATTATGCAATATGTAACAGTAAGATGAATTCAAGGAAGATGCCACCTGATTAAAGCACCACAAATAATTAGTCGTGGTGCCATCACTTGATTAAAGCTATGGTAAATACATATACAACTTCCTGTAAAATAAATAGCAATCTACAAGCTAGCATTTAGGTCATTGTAGTAAGTGGACTGCAGGGGTCCAACTGCAACACTAAGAGATCCCTGGACTTGATGGATAGGGTAGGAGATGGGAGATCTGTTTCAGTAAGAACTGATACTGGATCTCTTTTTTATGCAAGATCTTTCATTACTCCTGTTCTGGCATCAAATATATTCTGCCTTACCAATGCATGAAGAATTTAAAGAGGTCAAGAGGAGGGATTTTCACCTAACCATGACGAGATTGACTTGCTGATCTTGTACCTCATGCACATGTCAAGTAGATATAATTTTGATGATGTAGATTATTTTGGTTACTTGATGTACATGTTCCTATAATATATATGGGATATGCAGGCTGAATTTGCCTTGTTTAGAGGTGCATGGGTGGATCCAGAAAAAAAAAGTTGCATTAACCTTCATTGTTTGTCAGAAAAAATAAGTTGCATTAAGCTTCATTGTTTGTAGAAGACAACAAAGCATATCGACCTTAGAGATCACTTCAATCTTCATTACTACAAACTATAACTTCCATTAAGCCTCAACCAACCATATAACTTATCATTTGACATTGCATCCAAGGTTCGCAATACCGTACCGTACCGGAGTTTCGATCTGGGCTCGGTACCGGTATGGTATGGTGCTGCTACAGTGTCGGAACGGTAACATATGGTCCGCGTACCGAAAGTCTGTCGGACCGGTACATACCGCCCGTACCGGGCGGTACGGACCGGTACTGCAAACCATATTTGCATCAATAGCACTAATCATCAGTCCTCATAGGTCGTCAACAAAAAACCACAAAACAAGAGATTTTTGCTTTTAATTCATGTAGAATTTCGAAGCTAAGATTGACAAGAAGCATTTACCGGCTCAACTTGAATTGCTTGCATGTTATCTGGTCCAGAACCTTGAACTCGAAAAAGTGCAAGACCATCTTCTGAATATGTCTCATCAGCAGTGCTATTCTCCGTGATAAATCTCTTATATCCAGAACTCAACCCACCCTGATGTTGCAAATGGAAGTGTTTAGTAGAACTGAAAATTTTCAGTACCAAAGAACGAGCATATTCTGCACCAACGATTTCAGTAGTATATAGAAGAAACCTTAAAAACAATAAAGATCTGGAAGATTGAAAAGAATTGAATAGGTTCTTTTCCTTCATAAAGACGAGTCTGAAAATGCAGACAGAAGACATTAATCAACAAACTAAAGAAAGAAAACAGAAAGTAAAAAACAAGAGAAAATGCTATATACCTGAACAGCCTGTGACTTCAAGGCTTCAACCATCTTTCCAGAGAGGGATATAGCTGAAGCTCTCTCATCCTGTATTTAGATTATTTAGTATAGAATATTTTAAGTACAGATACACCAAAACTTTGATTGCTTCAAGTATAGAATATCTAGCATCTTTAGTAATATTTTTAAGGCAAAACCTCCTAGCCATTTCACTCTTGAGGGTGACAGATCTGTTTAATACACAGAATAGTCCATACTTCAGATCTCCCATAGTTAACTCTAACACCATATGTGGGGCACTAAAAATTTCTATGTCAAACATATGTTTACAAAGACCAAAGAATATTATGCACTGTTGGTACCTTTATTGAAATCATAAAAGTATTTGCTAAATGAAAAATGAAAAATGAAAAAAAAAATCATTTAAAGATCATAAATCAAGATGAGAAGGAATCATTTAAATAACATAGATCAAGAGAAAGAATAATTTAGATATAGCAGAATACTCCCTTTCTTGTCTAATGTCTAGTAAAGAAAAACTATGAAGCCCTAGGGGACTGTGCATTTCTTCTTTAATCCTATCTATTGAGAGGATTCTATGAAAAACTAGGAGATTTTGAAAACTTATCAAGAGAGTGTCATTTCTTCTTTAATCCTCTCCATGTTGAGATGATTAGACCACCTTGCACTTCAGAAACAAAAGGGCAGAAGTACTATTCTATATAAAGCCAAATCCCACTAGCCACCATTATAGACCAATTTGAAGTAATTCAACTTTGTATGATTTCTAGGGCTCTGCTTTGATGCCTCATGGTCACTGAAAAACAAAGCTGCATGGTTGTAAAATATCATGTGTCTGCAGGGATTGTCTAAAAACAAGACAATAGCCTATACAGGATAATCCAAAAGGCAAACTCATATGAAGCCACTCCATCATGTTTTTACGTTGGTTAATGCATATAAATTATGGAGGTTTTATACTCTATTTGGAATATTAACATACCTGTGCACATATATAACACAAGCACATATATATTAACATTTTCATTACTTGAAATGATGTGTTCATAGATATTATCCAGCTCTCATGTGGCTTGCTTAGCACCCAAATGTTAGCTCAAGCACCTACATTTTTTACATGAACAATGCAAAGCAGTCCTACGTTTTTTCCATGAACAATCGTCTTACACTAATTCTAGGAACATCTAGTTAAACTTCACCATCCATTGGTTCTTTACTGGCTCCAAGATTCATCCATTTCATAAAACAAGAGCAGCTATCTAGATATAGAGTTTTAATGCCCATTGTTAGTGCCAAAATTCTTATACACATTGCAAATGAACTGTATCAATACTAAAATAGCTTTCGCATGATCTACAAACTTGATGTCAAAGACAGTTCACTGTCCTTAAATCACATAAGAAACTTCTATAGCATGTTCAGACAGGCTATTTCAATCTGTATCATTGTAAGTTTTACAAATTTGTTCAATGAGATATGAAAACCCAACCCTGGTTAGAATAGGAAATTTCTATTACTTTTTAGGTGGGTTATTGGTCCTTCATAGAAGCGAACAAAACTGGAGTGTCAATGAATAAATACCTTTGAAGCAAATAGTGGATATAATTACTAAGTAGATTGCAGATTTTCATTATAAAATCTGGACAAAAGACTTGGAGATCAAATTCATAGAGTAAATAAAGTTGGGAAAAACAGTGAAATAAAGGAAAAACACATTAGAGAACAAAACTGTACAACTTGCTACCTTTTGGTTCTTGCCTTGGTTAATAACAGAGAGGTACTGGAATAAAGAGGATAAATAATTCTACGCTATTTTCACTTTCTGCAATGGAAATCTCACATGGATACAATACTTTGTGAACCTCCATTTTTCTTCCTTCCTTATTCAAAACATATCTTAATTTTAATAGTGTGAAATCTCTAAGGGCAAATACAATAACAACAATAAAGCCGTAAGTCCCAACAATTTAGGGTCAAACATGGATCTTTTGCCGCCATAGAAATATATAAAAAGTCATATATTTAGTTAAGTTCAGATTAATTAAATCGTTATTTATAATTTATATTAAAGTCTTTTTCGGTCATTCTTTATCTCTCCTTGCACCACTAACATTAATCATTTCACCTCATCTGACTATCGCATGCAGAGGTTTTCTAAACACATACTCATAACATTAATTATTTCACCTCTTCTGACTACCGGATTATAAGGTTTTCTAAACATATGCTCATACCATCTTAAACGATTTTCTGCCTTCTTATATTTTATAAAAACGATACCTAGTTGTTTACAAATAAAAATATTTCTTTTTCTATCATTCCTAGTAATTTCATACATTCATCTTAATATTCTCATCTCAGTAATACAAACATTTTGTATATATTGTTTCTTAACTTTTCAACATTCAGATCCATAAAACATTGTTGGTCTCACAATTATCTTATAAAATTATTCTTTTAATTTTAAAGGTATCCGATGGTCACACAAGACTCCTGATGCCCCTCGCTATTTTAGCCATCCTGTTTTTACTCTGTGAATAATATATTCATCAATCTCTCCATCTTATTAATTAATTGATTCAAAATACCTAAAGCTTTTACTCAAATGGACTTCTTATCCATCCAACTTAACTATATTTTCTTGTTTATTTCTAAAATCACTAAAATTATATTTTATATATTCAGTTTTAGTCCTACTTAATTTAAAATATTTAGTTTTGAAGGCTTACCTCTATAGCTGAAGTTTATAATTAATTTTACTTAGGCTCTCATCACTATGTCATCAACAAATAACACATACTAGGGAGGTCATCATGTACGTGACTAGTAAGCTCATCCATTATCAATGTGAAAAAGTAGGGGCTTAACACGGATCATTGATGTAAACTTATGTTAACAAAAAACTCACTAGACACACTCCTTATAGCTTTAATATTAGTAGCTATATTATCATACATATCTTTAATAACATCAATATAATTAGTGGATATATCTTTTTTTTTCTAAAACTCATTATAATAAATTTATAGGAACACTATCATAAACTTTCTCTAAGTTAAGAAAAACCATATACAAATTTTTTTTCTCCCTATACTTTTCCATTAATTATCTTGATAAATAAATAGCTTCTATGGTTGATCTTTCGGGCATAAAACCAAATTGATTTTTAGAGATTTTTGTTTCAAACCTTATCCTACTTTTAATAACTCTTTCCCATAGTTTCCAAAGGCAAATAACAAGCAGAAACAATATGATAATGCCAAAGGAAGACCACCATCATACAAGTCAACTGAGTCTTACACTACACCACAAACACCTTTCAAGGAGGGAACTTCTAATCATGGTTCGCATTATTGGTCCGTATCGGTATACCAACCAGGCAACCAATTGTCGGTACGATAAGTACTGAGTTGTACCGAGCTATAACGAGCATACCGACACATGGTACACTGGGGTGTACCAATGTACTGCCCGTACCAATCCTCTATCAAATCGGTATGTATCGCCCGTACCGAGCGGTACACTTCGATATGTCAAACCTTACTTCTAATTGCATATTTAATCCGATATGGGAGTAAGCACTCTAATCTTTTAAATTTAGACTTAAGTGGCATCTAAATTTGCCAAGTATACAATGACTAGTTCTAGAAACTTCACTTGCCTTAACGAGGAATGTATAAGAGAATTTAGCAAATCTTTCCAAATTTACAATTTTCATGCTGCTTAAGAAAAAAGATAAGAGGTCAATGACTTTAACTAGCACAAGTGAATGCATAAATATTAGGCTGTCTAGATAGATCAAATTATAGTCACAGGATTGATAAGTATTATCTGACAACCGCCAGCTTTAGATCAATCTTTGAAGAATTTTCAAAGATTTTGCTATCACAATGAAGAAATTCCAATTTACTAGTGATTCAGAAATGAACAATAACATGGTTAAGCTAATTAAACTTCTTCAAGAAACAGAATGTGACCTTGTCAATCTATAGCAGCGTCAATATATATCTAAAAACTTTCACACGAGCCCAGATTAATTGATTGCCTAGTTTCAAAATATATAAGCAGCTTAAGTGCACCTTGACACCAAATAGTTACATATCCTCATTACCAGTAATATCCATCTGCTGCTGATCGACTTGCAGACCTGCCTGATTCAGGCTGTACAAGGAAGTTTAACTTTTGATTGATCCCCGAAGGTTTAAATTTTCTTACCTCCAATTTGCTGCTGCATCAGATGTCACGATCTGAGCACATGCAGCCCATAAAACCTCTGTCCAGCGAATTACTGGTCATGTGCAGCAAATCTACCAACCTACTCCACTCCCTTCCTGTCTTTGTACCCAAGCTTCATCAACAAATGGTCAGAAGTTCAACTCTGGTAAAAGCCTAATCTTCATAGGTCTCTCAATGATCCATCAATTACATGTTCACTTCAGTCTGTGCAATACTTATTTTCTTAAAACAGTCATCTATCTCTAAACTTCAGAATCAACATGAGGGAACATCCTGTGGACATCCAGAGAACCAAAAAGATGAGGTACATTCTGTATCCTGCCTAGATTAGCTTCTCTATGAGCTACATAGTCATAGCTCCTATCAATATGTTTGAAATTAACAACATTAAGCCTGTCAGCAAGGAGCCTGTGCATTACTTATCATGCCACTAGAAATTCACTGAAAAGTGGCCAGAGATTGGAGATAATAGGTTTCCGTTTTTTGCCATGTTTTCCCACCACTGATGATACAAACTCAAAAGGGCATGACCCAGCATATGAGACTCCCAACAATTCATGTCCGTTATAGTCAATGTACACATCCTTACCGAAGAGGCTAATTACATGACTAAAGCCCTAGTCACCTGTGTTGCAAGAAGCAACCATATTGATCCAATGCTCACCCTTTATTGACAATACGAGCTATTATCTTTTCTTTTATTCTTTGGAGAATCTCTTTAAATTCATAAGTAAAAAATCTTGTATAATTTCCTTTTTTTTAGCTCATCCATTTGCAACTTCCTTTTTTAAAAAAATATCTTTGCTGCGAGGACTTAATGTCCTAAGTAAAAAATTAAACAAGACAAAAGAATGAGCTAGTTACCTCAACACTCTTCGTCCCAAACCAAGTACCAATTAGATATTCCTCTTTATCTTCACCAGAATATGTATACTGGAAGATATAGCAATTTCCACTGTAAAATTTTGTCTGATCAGAAGATGCAAGAAGCACTTTCTCATCACCATTTACATGCCAAACCTGTTCAACGAAGAAAAAAAAAACAATTTTATATGCCTCTCTAATGATATATTCTTCTGAGAAAATTAAGGCAAACAAACTAAATTATGGATTGGCATCTTTACAGTACCAGCATCAGCTAAAACAGGGAGAAAATTACAACAGTACCTGTAAATCGCCTGTGCAATCAATGTATGGCTGAGGCTCTTCCTTTGAAGTATCAGACTTTGTAAGACCCTCCACATTCAACCCCTGGCGCTTTAAAAGGGCTATAAGGCATAGAGCACACAACCTTAGGAATTAGTATTTTGACACATTCTATAGAAGAGTTAAGGACATTATCTAATGATTTTATAACTTATTTGAAGTCTTACCAGCAACCTTAACTCTACCATCTTCAGAAGCAGCTGCACCAGCTGTCTGTGGCCATGTATCAAATTTTGAACGAAACATGACAGTCTCAAATCCTTCAACAACACGAATTACATGACATTTTTGTCTGTCAGGTCCACTAATTAATTCCTGCATAATATATACACAAAAATGTATCAATAGAAAATGAGGAAATAAAAAAGCTCTTAAAGGCAAGTTTGAGCTGTTACTTCCGCAGCAGCACTTGCAATTTTCCTTTCCTCAAGTGATGTATTTCTGCCAATCCACACACAGACTTCAATACCACAATCCAGCAAGTAACACTTATTTGTGTTTAGCAACTCTCTTGTCAATGAATCAGCATCAACAGGTGTTGGCTGCCCATTCTCAACACTTAACAAAGTCAAACTGATTCTATTAGAAACAAAGTCAAACAGATTATATAAGAAACTTAAGTAACCATAGTCTATTAGAAAAACCTTCAGGAAAATGTTTTAAGAATCCAGATTCAGAGAGTTAAGACAATTTAAATACAAACTAATCAATAAAACTTACCAAAGTAATTTCACAGAAATGGTATCCACATCTCTTGCTTCCTCGGAAGATACCTTTCTAGGAAGAGGAGCAAAGCCACCAAACAAGCCCCAGAATTCTCCAGCATCAGCATCAGCCATCAACTTGCCATCCTCTATAAATAACCACTAGTCAGATCAGCATTTCTTGATAAGTTGTTCGAATCTAAGAACTTACCAATAGCTGCTACCTCACACTTTCCATCGTGAAAAGTATCTTTTATATGTTGGACCACCTCAAGAGCTTTAGCTCTTTCTTGAATGGTTGAGTTGGATCCATTAAACTGAAAAATCTTTGATCTTGTGTCCAGAATGAATATACCATCATGATTGAGGGATGACCGCACAAAAGGAACCTGGATATAATGAAGAGCAAGCTTGAGAAAGTCCTGGCTGATAATTGTCCTGGTACCTTTGACGATTTAAATACCTCTTTTATGTGGACAACATGTTTCCCTTTGCAGAGATATAGACGAGTCTCATGCTCATGCTCATTTACATCAGCGTGCCTAAATCCAGATGCCACTCCACCTTGTTGTGGAATGATACATGGTCTAAAGTAAGACAGGAACTTCTTTGTCTCGTTTCCTTGTACCTCACGATACTGAACAGCACGTCCACCAAGAATTGTATCAAGCTCAATAGTCTTGATGGCAGCAGTCGCAGCTTCATCCTATTCATTTTCAAATAAATATCAAAATCAAACTGTACATATTACACATTATTTCACAAGGGAGACAACTAAATGGAATTATGCACTGAAACTCTGACAGCCTAACCTGAGTAGTATCTTTACCAAGCCAATAATGGATATCATGACGCAAAGCACCATTTTTCAGGGAAGATGTCTGCAGAAAGAAGAAAATTCGGAAGCAAATGTATAACAGAACAGAAATGACTGAAACAAACCACAAACAAATATATAACATAATTACCAAAAAATTCAAGTTATGCCACGTAAAGAGAAATTCATCAAGAGGCACATAAGGAATCAAATATTACATGTCTATTACTCAAACACTGTTGACTCTAAACATAACTTATCAGAAATAATCAGGTATCAGATGAATGCACATTGTCTCTAATTTTACTTTTTACCAAATATTTATTTCCCTATGGATGTAATAAATTTGAGAAGTGGATTAGCATGTGAAATTAAAATATGTAAGAAACAATGTAAGTTGGGCAGCAACATAATAAGGGGTTATATCTTATAGCTAAATTATTATAAAAAGTACTATATTATTAGTTCACTGTTATAATTCTTCAATACATAATTAAAATATGAATGATATGAAGGTTCATCCAGTGTATCAACCAACAAAGGACTGCTGAAGTAAATAATTTTTACCCTTGTCTGCGAGTGCTTATTTCTTGAGTGCAAAATAAGGAAGACTTAAGTGGGCCATTACAACAAAAGGATCTCAAAGTTTCAAAGATATAGTAAGTTACCCCAACTTGATGTCATCTTGCTTGACGAATGATATGAAATTTAATGTGATATTGTCATCTTTATAACACCTGGAATGATGCAGTTGGTAACTTGTTAATCACTATGATATGTTCTGTGCTCTTTACTGTATTTTCATAAACCCTCTAGCATCATACTCAGTGATTATGTGTTCTAACCATTCTCATCAGATTTTCGAACATAAGAAGAGTTAGAAGATCCAAGAAGTGAGTATAAATATTGAAGCAAAGAATGATGACAAATGGTTCCATCCCCAGCATCCTCCAATTCAAAACTTCTAGTGCGATGTTTGAAAATTTAGAAACTTCAAACACGATGTCAATGAAAACATGTGCCTGTCCTATTGCACATTGACTAAGCTATTAAGATATCATTATACAATATCGTTAGTTGATCCATTCTGGCACTAATTGGCAAGGAACAAATACATGTGCCTGTCCTATTGCACATTGACTAACCTCTCCACCTGCATAATCATTTACCTCTACCTCTGCCCTTTTTGTCTCTCACTAGAAGAGTCATTTGTGAATTCCATGTCATTTATAAGTGAAAAGGCAGTGATGGGTCTTCAGAAAAATAAATTTGTCAACTATAAAGTACTCATGATACAACTTCCTCCAAATGGCTTTATAGTTACTACCTTGAAAACAAATTGTTGATCCATAACAGTGTTCTATATGACCTTTCCAGATTTGAAGTACTCATAAGAGCATTTTGTTAAAATGTTCATTCTAAGTTTCATTGTGAACTTCCACCACAAAATGACTGAATGCAGCCTGTTAAAACCACGTGAATTGAATCTTGCTTCAAGACAAGATCCTCTTACATATCATAGTTTTATCCAATAAAGAGGCGGATAAGACAGACTTATTTGCAGCTCTAATCTTTTGGCAAGCAAACTAGAGATTTTTTTAATTGAATATGGTGTGAAATGATTATCGTCGCACAACAACTTATGTGCTCCTCATTCCCTTAAATTTATGATCAATTACAGACCATGACACAGCCAATTACATTGGCAAGGATGTCAGCATTCGAAGACAATCCAACCGACAAGGACTTCTGCTCACCGACAAAAACCAGCAGCACCTAAATCTTTCATAATTTCCTCAACAGGTCAAAACTACAATTTAATGGACAAGACCTTAATTTAAAATTAGAATGCACAAAATGAGTAGAATTAATAAGATGAAAGAATTTGTGCACTGTCCTGCCTTAACAACGAATAAACAATTAACTCAGAAAGTGATTCTGAAGAAAAATTTTAAAAAGCTCTTTGTTGAAGTTGCAGCAAAGCCCCTTTTATGCTTCAAAATTAAAATAAGAGGCGAATATGATCATTAAGACATTAGAGGATTTGGTTAAGAGTGCAGAAATAGTAAAAATACAAAATAAGAATTTCCTGGACATTTAATCACAGAATCATGTGGACATATAGGATAAGGCGAAAAGCAGAGTGCTTAAAGAACAGGATGGGCAACAAATGAACATTTCACAGATTCATTTGAAATGAAAATCTGAGATAGTACCTTCAAAATCACATATGAATCCCCTGTAAAGAACTTTCCATGAAATGGGATAGGAACAACCGCAAAATTCTCAATTCGCCATACTTCCATCCCACTGTGGCTTGTCAAGGAACATAAATGTATGGCATGCAGTCATAAGAGATAGGTTAACTACACAAATATTACTATATTAGACTCAAAGAAGAAAAGCTATATTAATGAGATTTCCATATCCCATCCCAAGCTGGACGGTTTTGTTAGATAGCTTCCTGACAACATAAATGATTACCATAAAGAATTGTGCATCTTCATGCAAAATATGTTGGAGAATTAGGAATTAAATTTTAATGGCATTTCAGCTCACTTGGGCCCTTCAGTTCTGGATTGTTCATAAAGATAAAAGCTTGTTATTTCCCTTTACTCTTGACATTTCTAAGCCTAGGACATTTCAGAAGATTACTATGGGCATGAGCTTAAATTGTCCCACTAAAGTGGATCCTTCTACCAGGGTTCTCAATTTCGATGTGTAATACTCGGTACGGGTGGTACATACCAGTTCGAGGGGATATTGGTACATGGACTACCCTCTACTGGGCAGTACTGGTGTTTTGACCTCGTATCGGGTGATATGGGATCTGTACTGGGTGATAACAATCGAAATTCGACTGTTACTGAAGCGTACTGACCGGTACGCCCCCAGATTTCGATTGTTTCTGAGGTATACCGGTCAGTACGCCCCGGATTTTGACCATTACTGAGGCATACTAGTCCAGTATTTTTGGACTGTTACCTCCAAGTATTTTGAAGGTTTTTCAGCTCTTTTTGGGCATATCGTCGGTACGACCTGACGTACTATCGATATGCCTCGGTATGTACCATACTGATCAGGGCTCGATATATCGGTACAGACTGAAATTAAGAACCTTGCCTTCTACCATGAACTAGCATGCATCTCTTGAAAATTACTTGTAGAGCCAAGATTACGATTCCAACTTAGACCATTGATCTCAGGTTGATAGCCACATAGGATCTTGTCATATTTCCTTCTCAATGTTAACTATGCTTATAATGGTAAAAAGTAAGTGGCTCCAATTGGAATGCTTAGGCATATGATTAATCTAGGCAACACATTTTTAGTATGAACTAAGGTGAATCACTAGGAGAGAATTTTGGGGGCAAAGAATAACAATTTTTCAGTCCACCATCAAAAGTTCTAGAAAGAGTCACCTACGAGAAGAATTTTCATGATTTTGGAAAAAAGCATATTTCAAGAATTATTATTTTATTATTATTATTATTATTTCAAAAGAAGGACAAAGGTGAAGAGAATTCATTAAAATTAGTCTAATTTGCATACTCAGTTGTCCTTAATTCTTAAACAAAAGCTGGATGGTGGTGAATTCTGTGAAAACTTAATCCTTGCAGTTGTAGGACAAACTATAGATAAGAAACTTGAATAAACTGCTAATGACACTTGTTTTTATAACCTAGTGAAAAATGTTGGCTGAAAACTATTTCCAAGTTGCAGAAAAAGGTTAAAAGATTTTTTTTCTCATGTCTGACCTTGTAGACCAATTCAGCAATGTCTTTAACTCATACTGAGAATACAAGCAAGCAATCATCAGATATTTCTTTGCTTTTGCATATACAAATTGAAAACAAGATGACAGATAAATTGTTATATTCTGTAACCATTAGCATAAGTATTTATACTTGTCTAAGGCACCAGGACTAACGAAGTAAAGGATACGCCTTTGTTCCTGCACCATGGAAAGCAGGGTCCATGTCCTTCCTTGATGCTGACATATTTCTTTGGTGTAACTAATCACTTTATGATTTGGCTTCAAAGTGGACACACGAAAGCTCTACAATTGGATATCAACCTAAAATTACACCAGCACAATCAGGACTTGCAGCCAAAATTGGATAGAGCACTAATGATAAAAACATTTGACCAATAGGAAGATATGCAAGAAAGGGAATTTAGAAGTGCAGCATGGACTTCATAAGCATTACAACATGGAGTTGTTTGACGAACCACAAGTTAACAGAGGATGTACATTAAGTTGGAATCTGAAGAGAAAACACAAAAATAATTTTGCTTCCTATCGCAATGAGGAAGAATGTTGTGAGCTTCTTGAAATTGACATTCGAAGTGTTTTGGCATTCACATGAAACATAGTAGGACCGTGAGACACCAATATAACCTCCTAGCAAGTAATAAATCACATTCCCACGGTGGAAATGTTTAGCAGAAGTGGAAATTTAACCTTTCATCAGAAGAAAACAAAAGAGGTTAGCATTCAAACAAACAAAGGCCATGAACAACAGATCTGTCAGCATTTCATAATTAGTTCAAGAACCTTTAACCATAAGGAGTTTGTATTCACCATTTAAGGTTCCAAAACAATGCATAAGACAGTAACAGCGACCCCAAGTTCTGCATCAAAGAATCCCATTTTTAATCACTCGAGACATAAACATGCGAATCATGACTTACACACTCTCGGCAGCTTCCAATCATCCTCCCCATAAACGCTTAAGATCAAGAAACAGAAAGTCCAATACTTTTACATCACGAACTGCTACACCAGATCAATTTCCGGCACCAATAACGTCAAATTTTACCAGAATTACCAGAATGCAATGAAAAACTTCAACAACAAAAAAAATCAAACAATACACCAATTTGAAGGCCCCCACTGAGCTAAACGAAAACCAGACAGAGAGAGAAAAGATGCAAGCACGGAACGCGAGAATCCCAACACAAACCTTATTCAATATACTCTCTTGCAGATTAACGAGACGACATCGACAACTACCCATATCCCGCATAAAATAATCAGAGGAAGAACTAAGAAAGGGAGTTGGAACTGGAGACCATGCCCCACTTTCAACCGTGAGATGCTGACCTCAGATTCAGAAGATTTCTTCGGAAAACCCTAAAAGGTCGGATCGAAATCCAAAAAAGAAGAAAGGATCAAATAATAAAGCGAAAAAGAAATATGCGGGCGATGATGAGAACCGGACTTGTCTTTCACCGTTGGATATAAATATTATCTTTATTACTTTGTTCCTAATATTTCTGGGAAAATTTGAGGACGATGTTACAGAAGGTTAAGGTTCTGATAACGAACCAATGCATGGTTACCACGTGGCTCGTTGGAGCGCGTCGCAGGGTTGCAGGGGCCGGAGCGACGACGTGGTGGTCATTGAATGGTGAGAAATGTGTTTCGTGTTGCGCGAATTGTCGTAGGAACCGTTCAAACCGAGGAAGAGGAGACACCAACGGCCTCGGCCGTGGACCAAATCCCTCTCTTATGGCCTTAGAACACGATTCATCTTTATTCTCCAATAACAGTTTGCAACGTATTGGACGTGGAGGCTTTTTTTTCTCTTCTTGATCATTGTGGCTGCGAGGCGAAATCCAAATCTACCCGCTAACCTACCTGCATTGTGATTGGAGAGTGATAGGCCTCTGGTATCAGCCTCTTACCACCTATTAGTAGCCACATCAGAGCCAACGTGGAGCCTTGGAGTCAATGTGACGCATGCGCACCGATGTGGCACCTCGGACCCCTACGAGATGATGGATCGTGCTCACGTCGCTCGAGGCTATACAAGACGACGCCGCATAATACAGAATCACCCGAGAACATGTGAACCGTGCATGTCGGTCCGCACCATGCGGAGTGTACGGATCGATCAATCGGATCTCGGATACTCAAAACAGCATCAACTCCTCATACTAACTTAAGCTTCGAAGGGGTCGAGTCAAGAATCCCTCTCCTAACTTCAACCTATGTGCAGGAATCCGATGTGGAAAAGTCCAACATGGAAGAACCTACTTCTTGCTCTACCTCGAGTCGACTCAACGGATGTCTCTCTAACCCGACTTGGCATCGACCCCCTCGCCTCAAGAAACCACGTGGACAACTTTGTGTTCTCGGGATTGAACCGAGTCATGCTAACTCCCCAGTCACGACGTGAAGTTGCACAACAAAGTTGTTGGACAACCATATCCTTTGAAGATCCTATATAATAATAATATTTTTTTAGTTTATATGATAGAAATAAGTGGGATATTAACGGACATCAATCCAAGAATTCCTCTTCTTAGTGGGATAACAACGGACAACAATATCTTTCGTGGATCGCACAGGAGCTTTGGCCCTAAGGAGACCATCTTATTTTTCTTCGTAGTTTTTATTTTCAAGCATAGAAGCTTTGGCTAAAAAGAGTTTGTTTGTTTAGCGTTTGCGAGGAGAAACAGCATATGGTTTCCCTCTCGGATTAATCATCACAAAATTATATGGAATCCTGAAGCCTAGAGTTACATCTCTCTTGTGACAACAATTACAATGCATGTGTGCGTATAAGAATGATATGATAGACTGTTAGATGCTCAATCCATTCAATTTGGACAAATCACTAGAACAAATGAATGCATTAAAGTGTCCGTCATCAAGTATATTACGAGAGGTCTTTAAATAAGCAAAGCAGTTCTACCACTCTGCCGACACAGCATTCGGGCCAGGACGATAATATTAGACTGCTCTAGCAAATTGCAATGTTTGTTCTACGATACAACACAAGGTAAACATGTCATTATGAGCCGGAGGACTCCCCGACATGTTAATTCCATTTGCTGGGCCCTTATAAGCCGGTGAACCCTTATTGACTTCTAAATCTTAGGATTGATTACTAAAAGCTAAGACTCAGAGCAGGCAGCATGATTTTATTGATGTTCAACGGTAGTGTTATTCTCACCAGCCGAGAAATGAACAACAATGCAAGTTATATTATCGGCACTCCCTCTTTGACAAGCCTCCTGCAACAGTCTCCTTGCCGCTTGCTCTGGGTCCTCTATGGATTGAATCATGGCAACAGCCTCCTAAGATGTTTTACAAAGAAAGATTCAGTTTTCCGAAGCTAATATCCATCGCAATTGTAGGATAAGATCTGGATTTGTTGAGTACCTCATTTGTAACTACGTCCCAAAGTCCATCACTTGCAAGGATGAGAAATTCCAGAGAGCTATCAATTACCTCTTCCTGTGTTTGAACAGTTTAAGTACACAAACTAGAGTGGCAATCAGGTATACTACATAAATTCATGCTATTTATCACCATACCCATATTTCTGGATCAACAACAACAAACTGTTTCAAGAGTCTATCACCAAATGCACGAGAAACTGCAAGAACACCACCAACCCGCCATGTTCCTGCAGTTGACCGTATGTCCGTTTCAAATATCAGAACAATCTAACTGTAGCAATAATTTGCAAAAGAAATATGTACCAGCCCACATCACAAAACCACCAGCTTCTTCAATTCGTTGTCTCTCATCTGTTTGATCAGGCTTGTGATCCCTTGAGACAGCAATAGCTGCATCAAGTCCCAATATCAACTTTACAACAACTAAAAAGAGGATCTTACAGAAAGACATAGAGAAGCTTGTTTCATAATCTTTAAGAAAATCAGCTGACAACACCTGATGCAGATCATCTTTGTTCTTAGGAGGAAAATTAGATTAACCCTGCCACTGATATCAAACTTGTTCAAGCATTACTTATGCCAGTTACTACGAGGGGTTGATTTAAAGCAAAACCAACTCAGAACAACAACTAAAATTTTAAGAAAAAGGCTAATTATATGTTTGCATCAACCATTCTGTGACCATTTGATCACTGAATAGTATGCACAATGCAATATGCCCGGTAGCAAAAACCCCTACATACATGGGTTGGCTATATGGATATTGTCGCCATTAAGCACAATCGAAGGATAGCTTTTTCTCTACCTATCCATCCACCCATATTATCAAGTAACTCACCTCTCCCAAAGATATTACTATTGGATATTTGCAGATCACCTTAGGAGGATTTTCCTCATTTTATTCTTAGTTGGAAATACCCAGGTTGTTATTCATGCAAAAAACTTGTTATTGTTTACTCAATAGACCATGATACTTTTAGAGATCTTACAATTAGTCAAATATAAATACTACTTGTGAATAAAGATTTGCAATCAACAGCAAGTACAGAAAAGTTACTTATATAGTTTACCACCAGATAGATGCCTAAAGATTAAAAAAAGCCATCTCAAGCAGTGTTTTGAATACTGGTTCGTATCGACGTACCGAGCTTTGCTCAATATGATATGTATCGGTATATACCATCGATACACTAGGGCATATCGATGGTACACCCTAAAACCTTAAAAATACCTTCACCTACCACGCTAAGACGTACCGATTGGTATGCCTTGGTAACGGTCGAAATCCGGGGCAGTACCGATCGATACGCCTCGGTACTAGTCAAAACACTAGTACTACCCGGTAGAGGACGGTCCGCATATCGGTATTCTCTTAGACCGGTATGTACTGCCTGTATCGGGCGGTACACATCGAAATTGAAAACCCTGATCTCAAGCTCTCCTATATACAAGCAAATAATCCAATATTTATATTTACCAGAAGAATGAAAAACACCAAAATCCAAATATGTCTGTTTGTAGGCTTTGTATTATATTTCTAGCAAGTAGTATACTATTTAGAATATGGACTAAAATAATGGTGATAACCAAGGAAAAAATCAAACCAAATCCATAAAGCATAATGTATCTGAACATACTTCTTATTATGAGGACCTCTGCACATTTAAGACATCTTTTTCTAATTCTTATGTAATTGGTATTTCTTATTAGTAAAACCATAATAAGAGACCAGATTTACCTCCCTGCAAAATAGAAGTCTTTCTCACAAACGAGATATCATTAGAGCCAGAATACCTGCTTGACACCCATACAACAAAGGGTTTCTTTTTTCATCTCGAAAAGTCAGCAGTTGTTGATATTGTTCTAGCTTATATATGAGATGTCACAAATGTACAAATATTTTCTTATGCATGTACCAGATCCTCCAAAAAACATTTGCCAACAACAAGTCTGTTCAGCTTATGCTCAATATATGTTCAGCCATGTATCGAATGAAAACTTTGCAGTAGAGAGATCCCTTCTAAACAAATAAACACTTTGGAACAGAAAAAACACAACTGTATATGAGACTCACCTTTTCCACCCTTACATACAACAGCCCTGGAATCACCAACATTTGCAACTAACAAGCGATCACCAACAAGGACAGCAGTTGAAGCAGTTGAGCCAGCATCATGGCTCTGATTATTCTCAGATTTCAGAAATTCTGAGTCTGTATGGTTGTATGTATCAGCTGCAAGATTACAAAGTGGATCAAGATGATAGGGTACTGTACAAAAAGTCATGACCCACAACATGCTCCAGAAATTAAATGAAAGGACAAACCTATAGCTGACTTGGTATCACTATGGAACTTTGGGTGCCTAATTAAATTGCTGAAGAGATTTTGTTTGACATACTCCGCTGCCCGAGCACCGCCATGACCTGATAAGAACCAAATTTATTCAAAATAATAAATCCAAAAGTAAAGAAACTATGGTAATATGCCAACCAATGAAAGCATGAGATATAGAAAATATAAAATGCAACTAAATATTGGTCTGATTTCCTTGATATGGGTTTCAAATCACATCATCTACCAAAAGTACATTACTTGGACCATTCCATTTGTAAACAAGAACAAGGTTCATACCATCGAAGACCCCAAAAAAACCCACAATTTCTTCATCAACACAATCAATTCTTGCATCAAAAAAGTCTTCCATCGAAGACCTCTTGCCCGGAGAGCTCGCATACCCATAACTGAACTTGCCATTCTGACTGCAATAGAGAACAAAAATATATTGGTAATCTGAGAATCAACGCTTAAATTCATCCATTAAACACCAACAATGTTAGTTTTTTTCTCTGGCCAATCCTTTTAATGGACTTAATGGTCTATCCAAACCAAAGTATTTTAGAGTAATAGAAACTATGTGGCATTTCAATCAGTAAAAAAGACTTCAATTTTTATTAACAACTCTTAGAATTTCTTGCCTAGCTCAATTACAGAATATCGTACACCATTTTTATCTCAAAAGGATTTTAAAAAGTCATTTTTCTGCATCTCTTACAGATATGTCTTGGACTCTTCCATAATTGAAATTTTATACACAACAATGCTTCATTGATAATCATGCCATAGATAACTGCTAATTAACAAAGATTACTCACGGAGACAGCTTCGATTCCACAACCTAAATAAAGGTTGAGGGAAAGCACAACAAGACAAAATTCTTGCCTAACAAAAAACATCACATGAAAATATTATAATTCCGATATCAAGAACAAGAAAGGAACTATTTTTAACCACATAAATCGTGTATACCTGAGTCCTCCTCCACTAACAGGAGCTGCATCGGATTGAGTCCCGCTGACGGAATTCAAGTATCTCATCTTGTTCCAGCAAATAGGGTTCAGAATCCCCAAGAACAGAAGCAACAGAGCCGGTCTAGCTACTATGGAAGGCAATCCTCTACTGGGAATCTCCTCATGATCTCCAACTGCAAGCCGCGCCAAAGATCCGATTCTAATCGCCACCTGCACCAGGAATTCAATTGCTCAGACACGATTCCCGAGCTCTCTCAAAGAACCACCAGAAATATCACGAAACCAAACATCATGAAGAAGAATAATATGGAAAGAACACAGAAACGAAGAGGAAAGCACGAACCCTAACAGCCTGAGAGAGAGAGGGGAGGAGGAGGAGGAGGAGGAGGAGAGAGACGAGGGAGAAAGAGGAGCGGGCCGCGGGTGAGGTCGTGCGGTCGTGGGAAAAAAGAGGGAGAAAAGAATTGTGTGCGGTGAAACGCCGCTCCCACCAGCTCTACATTACCTGTCTTTTAACTGAAACTAATAGTGGGGCCCAAATGTGAAGCTAATTATATCCCATTCACGAGGCAGGTAGCGAGCTGGGTAGTTACACACAAGTATGAGATGTACTTTTCCGTGTGATTTAACGTCGTGTTGGGAGAACACTGACGTGGCGCGCATCCGTAGGACCAGAAGGGATGTTACGACCCGGTCGGACAATGAAAGAAAAGATAAAAAATAATTTACCTGCAAATGACTACCCAATTGTGTACCAGTTCTGTCGTTGTACAAACTGTGGGTTCCATTTTCCGTAAGGAAGGTAGCCACCTCAGGTGATCTATGACCGTGGCTCGAAAGAAATAGATGTACCCTTTCTCATACGGTACCATAGACGTCGCATGAATAACACGTCATCCGTGACTCGTAAATGAGCAATAAATGCGACTTTCTCATAAAATACGTATTTCCTGTTTTTATTTTAAAAATAATATTCTCAATTTACACCAAACATTGATACCGTGATGGGCCCTCTTACCGAGAATTCAAAATATTAACTAATATATTTTTTGAAGACGTTTGCTAACCTAATTGATAAAGATTTGATAGTTTAATCTAAAATCGTACCTTCGAAAAAAAAATTATAATTTCGAAAATATAAATTATCTTTTTAAATAAAATAAATAATATTTTATTTTTTTTAAAATAATATTCCTAAATTACACCGAACATAGATGTAATTGTGGACCCTCTTACTAAAGGTTAATGGTTTGCAATGTTAAGTGACATTTTATTAAAATTCTACCAAGTTTAATCGATAAAGATCTTAATAGTTTACCATAAGATCTTGGCTCCAATTTCTTTTCGTCACTTATCATTTGAAAAAAGTTATAATTTTTAAAAATATAGAATATCCCTCTAAAGTTTTCTTATCAAAATTTTTATCTATTTTATTATCAATTTGTAACTGTTTTCATTTAGTTTCGTTTATAATTTTTTTTAATACGATATACTGAGAAACACAATAAATGTTATTAAGAAACATGACATCAAATCATGCTTCTTTGATTATCATTGTTTATAGATCATTATAATATAATATTTTTAAACTTTATAGTTAGTTTAGTTAATTTTAGAAGTCTACTTAAATTATTTATCATGTTTTTAAGTAGGTTTTATAGTATTTTTGTTATGATAGCTAAAACATTGTAACAAACCAAAAATACTATAATAGACAGAAATTATTTAAAAAATAATTTAAATATTTTTAAAATTAGGAGGTACTTTTGAGAACAAGCAAAATGAAAACTACCGATTGGGAAATATTTAAAATGAAGATTTTTTTTTCAAAAAAAAAACCTGATTTTTAACAAAAGACCGTAAATTAAACAAATTTTATTTTATACAAATAAAACTATTCATTCAAGCAAAATATAAATGGCTCAAAACCTATTGACTCCCAAATCACATTACATACAAAAGAATATTTTACTTTTTAGGGGAAATTCACATTTGAATATCCTTGCAAAGTTGAAAATAACATATTTACCACTATAGATTTTAATATAATTTGTATTCCTCCAAATATTACGATCGCCTATTTATGTCATTATTATTCACATCCATTTAAAAAATCCAGATGAGCTACTTTAACTGTAACAAAATTTAGTTTATTTGAATCTAAAAATTATATGAAATATCTAAAATAGTCCAAATGTCATTAGCATCATAACAGGTTTAAAATGCATTCATGTAAATTAACATTTTAATTTATAATCAATTTGTAGTAGCTAATAGAAAGTAACATTAATGATACAAACACAAGTTTTTAGATTTTAGAAAATATATACACATATGTGCTAAACTAAATTCTGAGTTGACAAATATGCAAGTCATAAACTTTGGAGGGATAATTGTATAATTTAGCCTCATTGCTTGAATTATGCAAGTGATGATGACTTTGGAATGAACATGACTCATGTTAATCTGTCATACAAAATTGACATATCGGAATTCATATTTTGATAGCCATATGAGAAAAATATTTTAAGAGGTAACCTTTCAATGTGTAAAACTACTTATATTTTTATCAGGAAATTGTCAAATATAAATGGTACAAAAGAAATGGTGGAAATATTAAGGTTGGAAACGCATTCATGTATGATAAAAAATAGATGAAAGTTTGTCGTCAATCCCATTTATTCACCTAATTCTGATCCTTAATGGTTCTCATATTCATGGGGTTTGATGCCAAACCTTGTTTATTTGTGCCAAGTCCATCTCTGCACATAATTGAGACTCCTAATATGATGATGGGGTGTTGCTCAAATCAACAATTGGAGAGTTCACCCCCCTATGACAAGTTTGAGACTTTTAGTCTCTTTGTGAGAGTTTTTACTCTGTTTTCATCAATATTCTTCTAAGTTCTATGATAACGACACACAGATACTCTACAATTAATTTGTTTGGCATGTTTCAGATGTTTACAGGCAAGTAGTAGATAGATAACAAACACAGATGATGATGATGAAGACTTGGTAGGCCTAAAGATGAATGAACACTGCTACTTCTCAACCATCTTTCTGAGCTTGGAGATGGCCACTAACAACAGTAATCATGCAAGTGTTAGATTTGACTTGAAAACGACAACCGCATGTCACACCTTCCCACAGCAACACTCAACTGCACAGAAAGTGAGTTGCAGCTTCAAAGGTGCATGTAGAATTCAGGAGGAGTTGAGGCACACACACAGTCTCATTCTTTCTGGTCACTCAAAATCTTTCTACCATGTGAGACTTATCTAGCCAGAAGTCAAATTAAAGAAAAGATATTTATTTTATCACTAAAAATATGAAAATGTTTTGATGCGGTATCTACTCTGAGTAGGATCAATACACACCGATCTTGGTTTTATCATATGGTCAAAGCTCATCAAGAATTCTGATAAATTTAAGTTGAATCTAAATCCACATCTGTGAAAGAACTCCAAATCACAATTCATAAGGAGTTCATATATCATTTCCAAAGTTTTATAAAAATCATATTTTTTTTATAAAATCATCAGATGAACTACAAAAGTGACAACCGAAAAACACTAGTCTTATGAAAGTCGAGAAATTTGAGATAGATGTTAAAAAGACATGAAACCATAACTAGAGGTTAATAGGTCGAACCTCAAATTCTGCAGCAGTTCTCCTGATATAGCATGCACATTGTAATTCCAAGCTCTGGATAAGATCTCCCACACAGAAAGCTGATGCAGATCAAGGTTAGAGAAAACAGAGAAACAAGACAGAGAACAAGGATACACCATGGCAATCACTGTTGATTTCGGGGCCGAGGTGGTGGTGGCATTCCAGGTCTTGCAAGAGCAAACATAGGCACCGGCCCACCTGGCGGTGGTGACATCCCTGGCCTTGGCGGCAGTGAAGCAGGCATACCAGGCCGCATCACTGGCGGAGGGACCCTCAGCATCTGTGGCGGCACCGGGAACGGCGGTGGACCAGCCCCAGGACTGGCAGCGAACTGAACCGGCACAGTCGTTGGTGGGAGTTGGCCGACTGACGGGGGCTGGCCTGAGAAACCCGGCATCTGCCCCGGCGCCGGCGGGTGGACGACCTGGGATAAGAGATTGGCGGGGCCGAGAGCTGAGGCACAGGCGAGCGCGATATTTGCGGTTGCATCATCCCGGGTGCGGGCCCGCGGACGCGGGCCCGGCGAGCCCGGGCTGGGCCTGGACGAGAGGCGCGGTTGAGATGCCGAGGCCAGCGAGAGCTGCTGCGGCGTGGGCCTTAGCGCGGGACTCATCGGGGGGCGGGGGACCCTCGATGGTCAGGGACACGACCTCCTTGCAGCGGAGGAGGACGAGGCCGAGAATGCGGCGGTCCTCCCGCTCCTCGCCAGGCTTCTTGCCCCGCGCAGCGGCGGCGCCCTTTACGGGGGGAAGATTGCGGAACTCCTCGCAGTCGCCTAGGACGAGGTTCATGGCTCTCCGTCTGGATCGTGGCGCGCATCCCGTAGTTGATGTACTGCAGCATCTTCGAGCCCTTCGCCATCGACATGGCTCTCCGTCCCCGATCGCGATTCGGGTCTCTAGGGTTGGGGTTTTTTGGGGGGCGGGACTCAAATTGATGATGAGTAGTATAAATATCGTGTTCAAGTGAAATAATTCTTTGCTTTAATTCAACAAAATAATAAATGGCTTCCTCAACAGTTGAAAAACTACGTTGACAAATATTTCTCATTTACAAAAGTCAAAACAAGTAAAAAATAAGGAGAAAATAATTAACTAAAATTTTTCTTTCTCGAAATTGAAGATACGTTAAATTGTTGACTTTTGTTGTAGTTTTCTTTCTTTGATCGACTAAAATAAGTTGGATATTACATGAGAGAGATGTTTGACCGGAAAAAACGGGGTGATTAGAAACGGAGGTTTCATAAAAGTCTACTGATCGGACGGTGGAGAGCAATATAAAACCTCGTGATCGTAAGAAGAGAAGATATCGTGGTACCCTAACAGCTTTTTCTTTCCCGTAATTCTTCGCCTACGTACTAAGATACCCATCTGGAGAAACGTGCCTTGTGATTGGACGTTTAGTGGCTTCAGGCGCGGGTCCCGCCTCAACTGTCCAATGGTAAGTCAGGAGCCGAAAGGGTCATCGTATCGGTGATAAAGTATCGCTTCCTTTCTTTTGAAGGCCCCACATAATTGAAGCGTCTCCCCAACCCACTCCGTGGAAGAAGAGCTCGTTGCAGAGAAATCATATACCCAAGCCTTCACCTCCTATGCGAGAGCGGGTCCCGAAGAAGACTCGATCTTCTATCCACGCAGGTATAGTCGGGTTAGTTGGTTTCAGAGAGGGAATAGTTTTGCCTATTTGGATCCCATCTCGAGGAAAAGCGAAAGATCAATGCCGTCGGAGTGGAAACATCGTTGACTCGCCCCTGCTTCCACTCTCACTCCCACTTATAAAGCAACGCCTCGCCTCTCGTCGCCTTCTAATCTAACCGATCTGCCTGGGGTTTGGATCGGCATCGATGGGCGTCGATCTCATGGGGTACCGCAAGATGGACGATCAGATCGCCATCCAGGAGGCG